TATTAAAACATTTTTTTATAATAATTTAACATAGGATTTCTAACAATTATAATTGTCAGGCAATACTAGATGAGGTTATCAAAATAATCCTTAATATGTAATTATAGTAATAAATTTTTTAATTTTTTAATATCTTAAAAATATATAAAAAAATGTTTAATATATAAAATATTTATTAAATATTTTTAAAATAATAAAAAAATTAAAAATTATAAAATATTGTCAAATCAAGCCTTTAACTATAAGAAATACAGTTCGTGCATCTCGCTATTGTGGATTTATAAAAGCAATTTATCGCCAAGCGAGACGCGACTGGAGATAATAAAATTCCAAAGTCCGGCTGAAATTTGGATTGAGTGGGTCTTATCTTCGTAATATAATAATATATATCCTCCTTAAAAAAAATTGCGAACGTAATTCAATGAGTGTTCCTTATCTAGACTTTTGTTCTCATGTTACAACTACAAGCAATTCGCCACCACATAGAAAGAATGTGGTGACTTGGACCACTCCCATATAGCCACGTATACAAAAGTCGTCAAATGGGCTATCTACAACCACAAGTCTGTGCTCCACGGCCATCAACTAGTATTGGAAGGTATTTTTTTTTTTTTGGAAATATTTGACATGAAAACTGAAATATAAAACTAATATATCAAATTTAAAAATAGTAATTGATAATAGGTGGCATAATTTAAGCCAAAACCCCTATTTACACCCTTTATTTATTTCTTTTTCACGGTCAACACCTTCCAGAATTTTTTTTTCTTATTCACACCTTCTATTTTTCAAAATCCGTGAAAAACTTAATATTTTAATGGACCGTCACGGCACCGTTAAAAAATGCACTACGTGGCACCTAGAAATTGATGTTGCACATGCGACGTTTCTTTATTCGTTAGTTTTAGACGTGGATCTGTTTTTTTATGACGTGGCTTTTTTTTGCACACGCGGACACCACATGTGCAGTGGGACCCACTGCACGGTTTCCCTTGTCCTCACGTCCCCCACCAAAAAAAAAATTTTTCCAGAACCCAGAGCTAGGTTCCCTGTGAGGAACCCGATCTTGGTTCCTCATCCCCAGATCGAGTTCGAGATGGGTTCCTTTGGAGGAACCCATGAGGAACCCGACTCTGGGTTCCTCGTCGTGAGGAACCCAGATCGGGTTCCTCACAAGGAACCCAGCTCTGGGTTCGGGAACCCAGCTCTGGGTTCTGGAACCCAGGGCTCCTGTTCTAAATTATTTTTTTATTTTTTTATTTAAATAAGCCATGTCATAAAAAAAAAAGCATCCACATTGGATTACTAACGACACATAGTGGCCACGTCAATTTTTGAGTGCCACGTAGTACATTTTGTAACGGTACCGTGACGTCGCGTTAAAATGTTGGGTTTTTTATGGGTTTTGAAAAGTTAATGGTGTGAATAGGGAGGAAAAATTCTGGAAGGTGTTGACTATGGAAAAGAAATAAATGGAGGGTGCAAATAGGGGTTTTGACCTATAATTTATCTTATATATATATTTTTTTATTACCCTTTTAGAATCGATAATCGCTTTTCGAATCGATAATCACATTGTGTCTTAATTAATTAAAATCAAAACATATTGATTTCATAAGGGAAAACTCTCCCAAGCTTATAAGATTTTAACTTAATATCTTATTTAAAAAGAATCAAACTTTTTCTATTCAGATCAATAAATCATTGGTAATTTATCTTATATTTAAAAGAATTTTTTTTCTTTATTTTTTTATAAGATCTGTACATTTATATTATTTAACTACAACAGTTCATCTTAAATTTAAACATGATAATTTTTTAATGGAAAAACATGATAATTTTAATTCTTAGTTGTTGCTTCATTTAGTTTTTATAATTTTAGTTTAATATTTTGACTTTTTAAATAAAAATTTTAGATAAAATTTTAATACATTATATAAATAATAATTAAAATTTTTTTATCAAATAAAAATACTTAAAAAGAATTACATATAAAAAATTTTTACATGTTATTCATCTAAATTATTAAATTTTTATTTTAAATTTGTATTTAAAAAATCAAAAAATCAAACTATAACTATTAAAAATGAGAGAGATTCAAAAATACATTACAACATATATTTCTCTTTATTTTTAATCTAAAATTTATTCACTCAATATTATTTGTGATGCCCTTCTTATTTGAGAATGATTTGTTTAAATTGATCAAGACTATAACATTTCGTGGATCTCATTGAAAAAAGGTTTAATGTATATAAACATCACTAACAAACCAAAAATTAACTATAGAACACCAATAAAAATTTAATTGAGTTTAGTATCCACTATTTTTAAAATTTCTAATTTGAAATTAAGATAAAAGATTCAAACGTCTATAATACTAAGTAATCCTTTAATAATAATAATAATAATAACAATAATAATAATAATAATAACTTCTTCAGGAAAAGGAAGTTGAAAATATAAGTTCAGGGACAACTTCAAACATTTAATAATAATAATGATGACAATCACTTCAGGATAAGGAAGCTGAAAATATAAGTTCAGGGACAACTTCAAACATTGGAGGGTATGAAGTCCCATTGAAACCTAATAAAAGGAACCAGAGGATGAACATGAACTTCATAATTAAGCTACCAAATCATGGTAGAAAAAGAAGTGATTGCAACTCAATGATAGCATACAAAGAATGAAAAAAATTACCAAATATTTGATCTGGGTTAAAGGACTTCCAAACTAAATGTTGAATTACTATTACGACCCTAGTCTATGGGTATTCAACATCAAGGAAGAGATTTGACCACAAAAATGTAAAGGAAGAAGAGAATGAGCAGTGATATCTCCAAGTGTTGGAATTATATATGCTCGGACTTGCTTATAAGTTGTAGAAGGGCATTTGCTTTCCTCTGAGCTCTATTGGTTCCGCTTTGTGACATCTCTACTATGTGCTCATATACCCCATACTGAAGGGCTGCAAGTAAGTGGGATGAATTGTTTGAACAAAGTTCAACAAGAACTGAGCAAGCACACTCCTTGTTCTTTGGAGTCCCTTCACCTATGAGTTCAACGAGAGTTTTGACGAAGGAGAGCCGTCCAATTTCATGGCGTCCCTCTGGATGTAATACAAGGAGTAAGAATATGGAGAGGACCTCATCAACCATGCCCAAGTTTTTGTCCTCAATCAGTAGGAGAAGAAGGGGGACAATGTCAGCATCAATAGCCCTTGCCTTGTTTGCTTGGTTAAGAGATAAGTTGAACAATGCAGTGAGAGCATCTTTTTTCCCTCTGATTGTACCATTCTTCAACAATTCCACCAATGGAGGAATCCCACTTGATAACCCTATTGTAACTTTGTTTTCATCGATCATTGATAAGCTGAACAATGCTGCAGCAGAGTTCTCTCTTGCCTCATTGCTCCCATGCTGCAAAACTTCTATTATTGGCGGTATTGCCTCAGCAGTAGCTATTAGTTTCTTGTTAGACTCATCAATTGATAGGTTCAATAGTGCTGTCACAGCGTTTTCTTGAATTTTAAAATCTGGATAAGATAATAGTTGGACTAATGGTGGTATTCCTCCACAATTGGCAATCAAAACTCTATTCTCTGGATTCTCTTTGGAGAGCATTCGAATATCCTTCACAGCCTTTCTCTGCATTTCTAACTGAGTAGAAGATAGTTCTTCGACCAAAGCTAAGATAACCTCCTTTTGTTCTGCCGAGTTGCTTTCTAATGATGCAGCTTCCTCTTTGGTGGGAACTTTAAAGTTGTTCTTATCACACCATTGCAAGATAAGGTTCTTGAGGGCATAATTTGGTGCCATTGATAAGTGAGACAGAGTTTGCCTGGTTTTTGGGCAGGTCCGATGGCCAGACTCAAACCATTTCTGTATGCTTTCTCTTTCATATGTCTTTTGATGAATATGAATGTACAACAAGACAACAAAAGAATCAGTTTCCATCACATAACTTGACAATCTAGTTGAAGAAATCACAAACATAGAGAGTACATTTTTAGGGAAATGGGAAATGTGCAAGACCTTTGGAGGCTTTGCTTTTGTAGATTTTTATGGAAATTAACTCTAGGGATAATTGTTAGCTCACCTGTCCACTTGCGACGATAACAGGATCTGTCATGATTTCTAGTGTGATTGGGCAGAGGAATTCATGTGGGATGATTAAAGACTGACATTTTTGCAGCATCTTAGGTTGAACAGGATCATCAAGGACATTTGTCACTTCCATGCCCAAAATCTGCTTACACTTGTTCAGAACATCTATGATTTGCTGTGTAGTCTCTGAACTCTGTCCTGCTCTTTCTCTAACAAGATTCCTTACAGCTATAGTCTCGATCTTCAGGTCCTCAACAGTATGGAGATCGAGCTTTTCTGCTACCCTTTTGATTATGGCACCATCAGCACTTCGTTCATCTGTTTTGGAGAAAATCACCATCATATCTACTGCAAGTTCCATATCCTGTGTGTCTGTTCTCCTCTTTGCTCGCCTCAATTGTGACTGAAATAGCTCCACCTATATCAAAAGTCAAGACTTTTCCAACAATTAACATTGTTAAAAAATATGTTTAAAATTTTGAATCAATTTAATTAGTTCAGAAATTAAGGTAAAAACCTGTTCTTTCACTTCATCTGAGATCCCTAGTTCAGCACAAGGCAAACTATCCAAGGAGTGGCTTAACTTTTCATAAACGGAGTGAAATCTAATCATAATTGCCTCACTTTCTAATGCCTGAAAGGGAAATGCCAAGAAGAACAAAACCCAACTTGAGAAAAATTAAAAAGCCTGAAATTCAAGTAAAAAAATCAGGAAAATTTAGAAAATACTCCCTGGCCCTTTTTAATTAAATTTATTTATTTTTATTTAAGTGAAACTATTCAAAATATTCCGTATATGTTTGGATAAAAATTAATAAAGAAAACTGAAGGAAGAGAGGGACAGGAAGAGAGGATAAGAAAATAAGAGTAAAGAACTAATATTAATTTTATTTGGATAAATAAAAAAAGAGGAAAAAAGGAGAAAGAAAGATTATGTTTTTTATTTAATTAAATAAATTAAAGAAAAAATTATAAAATTAATTAAAATTTTATAAATTTATATATTATTTAAAAAAATAAAATAAAAATAAATCCAATTTTTTTGAATCATCTCAAATTAAAAGAATTAAAAATAAGAAATTTAGAGGGAATCTATTATCCCCTCAATCTTTCTTTTCCTCCATTCTACTTTTTTATAGACTTTATCAAGATAAAAGTGAGGAAACACCTCTCTTTTTCTCTCTTCGCTTACTCCCTCAACTCCTTCAAGTCAAATAGAAACTAAGTCTAAGAAGAAAAAGGCTTTTAATTTTTGTCCATTTATATTATAAAATCATCAGATCAAGCTTTACGTATAAAATTCAAATGGAAAACTAATTAAAACGGACGGTAGGGAGTACATAAATAAAACAGTCCTAGCTCTCACCAGAAAAATCTTGCTTCCCTCGTTGCATGTTTTCAACAAATTCCTAGCCATTACCAGTGCTTTCTTCAAATTACACAAACAAGCAGTGCACTGCTCAGGAATCGGTGAACCCATGTCGCGAATCTCCTCCAAAAAGGGCAAGAGAAGCTTCATACGCCTGGCGAGTCCGAGGCATTCTTTTTTCTGTGTTTTCCGATAATCTCCGAGCTGAGCAATGGATTCAATCACACTAACAATTCCTTCAATCAAGTCAGTCGGCGACGTCGATACATTATTCAATTCATTCTCTTTCTCCAAAACCCCATCTCTTCTTCCCTCCCCCGTTGCTCCTTCTTTCCCCCTCTCCCTATCCTCCATTGCTATAAAAACTTTCGACATCACCCCAAAAAAGATGACCTTGATCGAGGAAGAGGGGAATTAAGGAGAAACGTGAAGAGAAGAAATCCCTAACCCTAATTTTCATGGATTCTGGGGCTATCAGGAGTGTTATTAGTTCATGCCGTAGCGTGCAGGCGGCCTTCTCGGGTTCGTTACAATTTTATCCATTTCGCGGGTTTTTAGTTGCCAAAATGGAAAACATCAGGAAAGTTAGTTAATTTTAAATGGATATGCGTCATTTAACTTTTTTTTT